TGTTTGGAAGTATCCTTTCTTCACTCGCGTGCCGCGTTTGGACGTATCCCTTCTCCACTCGCGTGCCGCGTTTGGACGTATCCCTTTCTTCACTCGCGTGCCGCGTTTGGATGTATCCTTTCTCCACTCGCGTGCCGCATTTGGACGTATCCTTTCTCCACTCGCGTGCCGTGTTTGGACGTATCCTTTCTCCACTCGCGTGCCGCGTTTGGACGTATCCTCTCTTCACTTGTGTGCCGCGTTTGGACGTATCCTTTTTCCACTCGCGTGCCGCGTTTGGACGTATCCCTTCTCCACTCGCGTGCCGCGTTTGGACGTACCCTCTCTCCACTCGCGTGCCGCGTTTGGACGTATCCCTTCTCCACTAGCGTGCCGCGTTTGGACGTATCTTATCTTTACTCGCCTGCCGCGTTTGGACGTATCCTTTCTCCACTCGTGTGCTGCGTTTGGACGTATCCTTTCTCTATTAGCGTGTCGCGTTTGGACGTATCCTCTCTCCACTGGTGTGCCGCGTTTGGACGTATCCTCTCTCCACTCGCGTGCCGCGTTTGGACGTATCCTTTTTCCACCCGCGTGCCGCATTTGGACATATCCTCTCTCCACTCGCATGTCGCGTTTGGACGTATCCTCTCTCCACTGGCGTGCCGCGTTTGGACGTATCCTCTCTCCACTCGTGTGCCGCGTTTGGACGTATCCTTTTCCACCCGCGTGCCACGTTTGCGTTTGGACATATCCTCTCTCTACTCGTGTGCCGCGTTTGGACGTATCCTTTCTCCACTTGCATGCCGCGTTTGGACGTATCCTTTCTCCACTTGCATGCCGCGTTTGGACGTATCCCTTCTCCACTGGCGTGCCGCGTTTGGACGTATCCTTTCTCCACTCGCGTGCCGCGTTTGGACGTATCCCTTCTCCACTGGCGTCTCGCGTTTGGGCGTATCCTTTCTCCACTTGCGTGCCGCGTTTGGACGTATCCTCTCTCCACTCGCGTGTCGCGTTCGGAAGTATCCCTTCTCCACTCGCGTGCCGCGTTCGGACGTATCCTTTCTCCACTCGCATGCCGCGTTTGGACGTATCCTCTCTCCTCTCACATACCGCATTTGGACGTATCGTCTCTTCACTCGCGTGCCGTGTTTGGACGTACCCTCTCTCCACTTGCGTACCGCGTTTGGACGTATCTTCTCTCTACTCGCGTGCCGCGTTTGGACGTATCCTTTCTCCACTTGCGTGCCGCGTTTGAACGTATCCTTTCACCATTTGCGTGCCGTGTTTGGACGTATCCTTTCTCCACTCGCGTGCCGCGTTTGGACATATCCTCTCTCCACTCGCGTGCCGCATTTAGACGTATCCCTTCTCCACTTGAGTGCCGCATTTGGACGTATCCTTTCTCCACTCGCATGCCACGTTTGGACGTATCCTTTCTCCACTCGCGTGCTGCGTTTGGACGTATCCGCACTATTATGTGCATCGTACTTTCTTGCGCAACCTTTCTCCACCCGCGTGCTGTGTTTGGACATATTCGCATTGTCATGTGCATCGCGCTTTCTTGCGCAACGTTTCTCCTCCCGCGTTTGACACGCGTTTGGATGCCTTTCCTCTCCTGCGTGTGTTACGCTGAGAGATGTTGTATTTGAGACTTTAGGTGTCCTCGGTAGTCGCTTTTAGTCTTCTCCGCGTGAGACCCAGTGAGAATTGCATAATTCTCTTCCATCCTTTCTGTATGAATGTAATTAGATTTGTATTTGCTTGCTTAAACTGTCGCATGTTATGCTTCATTACAGCTCCCTTTGCATGATCATAAGTTATGATTCGGCTTTGTGCATTGTCTCTGCATTTTGCCCCCGCCTTCGGGCACATATCTTTGCTAGCTTGTATACTTTGTCTAAGGCTTCGGCCTTGTAAAAAATGGGTCGTCTCTGGCCTTTGACATTCACTCTCGTCATTGTTATAACTTTCGAGTTCTGTCAAAGAGGGAAAACTGTAGACACCCCATTTTGACCGTCCTCAAGACTTGGATGTCATTATTTGAACACTCGATGATCATCCAAGTTCGTGTTCGTTTTGAGTTCTCGGAGGTCTCGGCCGCGCGCCTCGCCTCAAGGTCTCTTAACTTGTCTGTTTTGTGCTTGGTTATGGACCAAACACTTGTGGTTTTGCTTCTGAGGGAAGAGAGTGGTTTGTTGGCCATTTTCTCAACCCATCGGCCAAGGCTTGAGGCCATCGGCCAAGAGTGTTGGCTGATCGGCACTATATTTGGTCGGTCGGCCACCTTTGTTGATCGATCGGCCATATTTTTCGGCCGACCCCTTTCCATCTGCTTTTGGCGGATATTTTTGTGCCAGCGGGTGCTGTTAGCACGCACAATTCCCCCCCTTCATACACGTGTATGGAGGGATTTGAGCCTTGCTTAGCTTCTCTAAGAAGCTTGGCAAAATTGGATTTCCATAAAAGGAGAGCCTTCTCTTCCTTTCCAGGGGTTCTAGAAATCTGATATACAAGTTAGATATCTCTCTCTCTCTATATATATTTGTATGTGTGTTTGAGCTCAAAAGTGTGTTTTGTTCTTACTATTGCACACAAACACCTAGCACTACACTATCCTTGGTTGTTGAGGCACTAGCAGGTTGATTTTAGAGTTCTTGGGCTGCTTTTGATCCAAGAAGATTGCTGGAGTTGTGTTCTTGAAGTTGTTCTTCAAGGGTGAGTCAACTTGCTTTTGATACCCCATTTTGGCTTAAGCTTTTACACATACTTCTATATTGTTCTTAAGATTGACTCTAAACTACAAAAAGCTCTGATTTTGTATGCTTGTTATGGTTGTTTAAGGTCACTTTTTGGTTGGGGGTTGTCTACCCCCTCTTAGGCCTTGTTTGGCCTTGTTTTGTGCCTTTACTTTCGAGCTTTGGAATCATCTTATTTTAACCTTCCCACCACTGAAATTCAAAGGATTTTCAATGGTGGAGAAATGGTTTTGAGGTCTTGAATAGGGGAGGGACACCCCCTCCCTTTGTGTCTCATTTGCTTGTGTTGTTGGCTTAGAAGAGTAGCATGTTTACTTAGCATGTCTTGGTTCTATTTCAGCACTTTTTAATGGCTTTTAGGACCTGCCTTAACTCTATGCCATGTTGGTTTGATGGCATCTTGCATGCTTCACATACTTGTAGAGTAATCTTGCATGTTTGCATAACATGCATCTTGTGTTTGGACCACTATTCTTGCATGTTTTAGCTAGACTCCAATGAGCTTTCCCTCATGTTTTACCATGTTTAAGCTCTGTTTGGTTTTGATTTGATCATATATGCATTATCTTGCATAGCCTTGGTTCATTCTAGCTTGTAAGCTTTGTGCCTTGAGTTCATTAGCATGTGTTACTTGAAGTATTTTCATGATTTGGCATCATGTAAAATGTGATTTCAGTCCATGTTTCATGGTCACACACTTGTCTTTATCACCTATTTCATGCTTTGGATACTTTGTGTTTCATGCCTTAAGAATAGGTCATTGTGTATGCCATCATACTTAGACCTTTGGGATGCCATCTAAGTGGGTTTTTGGGCACATTCTAACATGTCATAACTCTGATTTTATTGGCCTAGGTCATGCCATGTTTGGTTGTAATAGGTGTAGTGCAATTGCCCCGTTTTGGCCTTGTATGCGTCTTGTTCTGTGCTCGTCTTTTTAACATGTTTTGGCCTCATCCCATGCATGTTCTAGCCTTTTTTTGGCCCGTCTTGGGACTGTTTTGGGTCACCTTGGTCCTCTGGGCTTGGTTGATATGGCCATGGTTTAAGTACCTCGGCTAGCTTTGAATTTGAAGTCCATTAGCATGCCTTGCTTGTGTTGTGTGTTTGATTTGGCATCACTCTTAACATAATTTCAGAGTTTATGGTGTCACCATATTGCCATGATTGTCACCCCTCGCTCATGTTTGGTTGTTGTGACCTTGTGCTTTAACTCTTGGACCATTGCATGCGCATGCTCATTCTGCATTTCATCCTGTCATTCCATCACCTTTGGCCATTGTTTTTGGTACGGCTGAGGTCTATCCATCTTTAGTGTAAGTCCATGGGTTATGCATTTGTATATTGTTGTATGCTTATCGCATCACATGTTGTTGCATCCTTATGGTTGGTGTCATTGTTACATGCCTATCATTTTGTGTATTTCCATATCCAGGTTGCATTGTAGCATTACATACTTGTTGCATTGCCATACTATTTGTGTGTTAGGTTGCATCACATTGCACTTGACATGCTCATGTTACATCGCCTTACATTCCCATGTTGCATTGTACTTGATTGCATGCATTGGATGTGTTTGGTTTGGGGTGTCAAACCAAACACGAGGATCAAGAGACGTTTCGTACTCGAAGTGAAGAAACGTGCCTCAATCCTCGGTCGCCGACACTCTTGATCTAACATGATAGAGTTCTAGGCATTCATATGTTTTGTTGCATTCATTCCACATTAATTTGCACACTTGGCACCTTTGGCCACCATGCATTGAAATGCGTGATTAGTGGTGCGAGGGTCGAGAGCCATACTCCCTTGAGTTTATAGCATGATAGGGAGGGTGGTTGTACACACATTATCTTGTAAATGCCTTGCCATGCACTGTCTGTCCTCTGTTGCAGCAAAAACAGGATCCTGCAGGAATATATGGCCGGTTGGCCATCTTCGGTGCCGGCCGGCTACCAAAATCTGGCCGAGAGCCTTACAAATGGTCGATAACCATTTTCCAATGGCCGGTGGTCCTATCCCTTGGCCGGTGACATCCCACAGTGCTTAGGGAGTGGTTCAGAAGCATCCTTGGGACTGATGCAATTTTCAGAGGCATAAAATAGTGGAAACAGAGGCAACATGTGGCATGGCAACGGGTTTCCGAGCAAGGCGATCGAGCATGCATTATTCAATCATTCCGAGGTGGAGCTGCGGCGGCCTCCTTTTGTAATTAATTTGTTAATTAATTAAGGGTTTGTAATAATTAATTAGCTAGCAAGTAAATGAAATTTTGGTCTGAATCTTTGTGGATTCAATTCTAGTGACAGCAGTGTAATTTAGTGAGGAAAGATTTTGTTTAAGAAAGTTCCTTTTAGAGTATTTATTATGTTAACTTGTAGGAAGAATTGGAAGTTCTTTTTGAAGAGTAGGAAGTGAAGAGTGATAAATATTTGATCTGGAACCCATAGGTTGAGTTACCAAAAGCATCAACATGCTTTGATTCGGACTGTTAGCATTAGTTATATTCAAATGTGGTTTAGATCTTCATTAAAGTCTAGTTCATGTAATTGCAGGAGAAGAATGAGTCCATTTTTTATGGTAAGGAAGAAAATGGTTTTGAAGTGGTCGAATTCGAACTGCCAGAGCTGGATCTATTCTTGGTAAGAATGTCCTACTTTGGTTATGTATATGTTGTATCTATATGTCCTGAATGTAAATTATGTGTCATGAAGTTTCTTATATAATCTATTCTATGGTTCTTGTAGGAAAATGCTTGCTTCTTTGAAGAAGAGAAAGTGCAACTTTTTGATGCAGTTGGAGAGGCTGATAATAATGTGGTAAAAGTTTAAATACTATGCCTGCTTGTGTTTACAATCAACATCTTTTGATTTCCTTAGCCACAGCTTTTGTGAGTGGCAAAAGAGCAACTCAAATATGGTGAAGCTTTTACCTTGTTATTGTCAACATTTTGATTACTATATGATCACAATGGTGGTGGTATGATGACACTGAACTTGAAGTATACATTTTTTAGGTGGTGGTATTATCACAATGTTTAAACAAGCAAGGTACCAAAACTGAAAAAAGAAAAAACGAAAAAGAGACAGCATTGTGAGAGAGGGAAAATGTCCAAAATAAAAAATATAAAATGAAGGACTTTAGGCATTAAATTTTTTTGGCTTGGACTTCTCATAAGATGTAATTTATTTGAAGGACTTTTGGCCAAAAATCCTTTATTCATTCAATTAGCAATTCGATGCACATATTTGAAAATCAAAATTGTGTAACAAAGATTCACACCAAAGTGAGTTGTGTTCTTTTTATAATAGATATATGGTTCAGTCATGTACAATGAAGACCTGTAGATGTAATGGTTAGGAAGAGTGATATGGTTAGCATAAATAGAAATTTTAGGGAAGTTGATTTGCTTGTGTAGAGCCTTGTAATTGTTGGCAGCAGATGATCTCTGTCTGTCTGGGAGCAGAGGATCTCTGTCTCTGTCTCTCTCACACACACACACACACATTATTCATCATAATATCTGAGCATATTATATACACAAACATGTATATATATAACTGAGCATTTTATGATGTCATTATATGCCGCGAGTGCTTGAAATATGCAGCCTGTGGGGTTTGCCACTCTGATCTTCACGTAATCATAGGTGAACTTCCATTTGCTAGCCCTTGTGTTGTGGGTCATGAGATCACAGGTGAGGTGGTTGAGCATGGGCCCCTCACGGACACCAAAATCATTGAAAGGTTTACTTAAATTTTCTTTAAAAATATGCTGTAATTAATCACGGTTCACTAAGAACTCCCAAAATGATGGACTGGTCCTCAACATGGATAACAGGATTAGTTTTGCCTTGATTCTTCAGATTTCCAGTCGGAGCTCATGTGGTTGGAGCTTTCATAATGCCTTGCGGTAGCTGTTTCTTCTGTAATAAGGTGATTAAATCAACTAATTCCTCAACTTTTCTTTCCCTTGATCTTATTTGGTCTCTGACATTGCGACTTGCTGGTGTCGATATATATAATACATGGTGTCAATCTTATATAGTAAGTTTTTTTGAGTGAATACAGGGTCAAGATGACTTATGCGAGGATTTCTTCGCTTCTAACCGTGCAAAAGGAACCCTTTATGACGGAGAAACCCGCTTGTTCCTCCGCAACAGTGGTAACTGTTTCGTTACCACTTACAATTTACTTCATCTTAATATGAACTTGAATACTCAATTTTCAACACATTCTAATTGAGCACTTTTAGTTTTCGTTATGTAATTTTTCCTTTTGGATATTCTGTTTGTGTTAGGCATGTTGATTTCTCGACAGAGTAGTTTTAGTTACTCGTCATATAAGTGCTGGCCTCTTCTTACATGTGAAACTCAACAGGGTTGAGTGGCCTCTTCTAAAGCCAAATCTTCTGTCCTGTTTGGTTGCTGAGAAAGTGGGGGGAAAAAGTAAAGAAAATGAATTTTTTGAGTCCTACTGGATACTGTCATTTCTGGGTTTTGTTGTATATTATTTATGTAGTTGATGAATTCGTTGATTGTTGAAAGGTCTGACATGATTGTATTTTTATCAAAATTATATATACAATTTTGACTGATAGCAATTTTGTGGCTTTGTATACAAGGTAGTAATTAATTTTTTGGTTGAGAATTGTGAATACAATTTTTTGATATGTTATTTTGGGGGTAATATTAAAATATCATTTGTGGATATGTTATGTTGTGGGTAATGGTGATTGGTGAATGGGAAAGTGAATTAATAATGCATTTGATATTTGAATGTAAGTTATTATTTCATATTAGTGTTATTCATTTTTATTATATGTATTTTTTTAGTTTAATCACATAAATTAGCACAACTTAAAAAAAAAAAAAAAGAGATATCACGGCGTTTTTTTAAAAACGCCGCTTAAAACCCAAAATTAGATTTTTTTTAAAAAGATATGACGGCGTTTAAAAAATGTCGCTAAATATCATAATGACGTCATGGTACTGTCAAGTAAGACATTTAGCGGCGTTTTTGAAAACGCCGTTTATACTAATATAACGGCGTTTTTAAAACGTCAGGAAGTTATAGCGACGGCCGCGTCTTCGGCGCTTGATGCTAAGCGTCGCAAAAAGAATTAGCGGCGTTTTTGACACTTATAGCGGCGTTTTTTAAACGCCGCTAAAAGCAGAATTTCCTGCAGTGGTCACATCAATTTTTCTGATGTGACTTGCCAGTAAATCTCAACCACACAATGTACTACTCTAGGAAACTTTAGGAAAATTTCACTCTAGAGGATCCTTGGTGTTGTTAAACTACAATGAGGATACAATATTCGTTTCAAAATATTATGAAACAAAACATACCATAGATATTACAGCATCCCTCACTTGATCATTCATTTCCCCGTAAACCTAAATATGAAAAAAAGAATTGTTAAAATAATTTATGTAGAAAACCGAACAACCTTTTATAACAAAAAAAGCATTGCCTCACTAAAAAATGAGCCAATTTACATACACATAATTAAATTTAAAAAATATATCAAGAATGTATCTACACGGGCGTACCCGAGTATTCTTATTTACTGACATTCTCATCATTTTTATTAAAAGTGAGTATTATCATGTTGACATATTTATTCGTGATATTTCTTGGTAACTTAACTTTAGATTAATTACACTGAGTACTTTTACACTTTTACTAATTTAGCACTTTAGACCATTTATTTTCAATTGTGACGGTTAACTTTTCACACTTTAAGTCTAATTAGGCTGACAAAACTTATCATGTGAGCAACGCATACCATTTTTATCACCTCATTAGCTCCCCTACACATTTACTAGAATCTCATTTTAATCTTTGCACTTTCACCAAAAACTCACTTTTGACTCATGACCTTTCACTTTTAATTTTTGTCAGCGCCACTAATGATAGATGAATGGAATAATAACATTGTAACTTGACTTAAAGTATAAAATGTTGATTATCACAATTAATAATAAAGGGACCAAAGTAAGATTTTAATAGAAATACATAAATACTAAAGTTGTGTTTGAATCATGAATTTGGATAGGATTTAAAAAGAGAAATGAAAAGGGAAACAGAGAAAAAAAATATCTTATATTTCATTCACATTTTCCTCATATTTTTCTTTCTCCTTTTTAAATTTCTATCTAAATTTATAATTAAAACACACGGCCAAGTTACCCTTTAATTCTATATGTCAAAAATATAGATGTAGCATTACCAACCAGTTCATAGAAGGTCATGAAGCTAGTCTCTAGCAGTTTGGGAAGTCTTCTGTTTGCGGTGAAGCATCTATCAAGAAAGTTAAAAAATCTTGAGAGCCAGTAAGTCAAAACCTTGTGGTTATTCCATCTTTTTACTAATTCTTGTAACAAATTCTCATCTTTTTTTTCCCTTAAAGATGGTAGTACCTGATATAACACACACACACACACACACACACACACAAAAAAAAAAAAAAAATTATATCTCTAGGCAGAGAAATTTACAGTGTGCACTCTTAAAAAAAAAGTAATCAGTGTGTTCGATTTTAATTTTTTGAATTCAGTCTTCTGAAAATTGAGTTTTTTTTTAATTTTTTTTATATTTTTCATATTTTTAGTGAATATTTTTAAAATTTTAAACAATTTTTTTCTTTTACTTTTTTAGATACACTTTACTTAGATGTATCTAAATAGTAAAATATTTGTGAAAAAATATTTTAAAAATTAATATATACACAAAACACGAAAAACTTATTGAATTTTCATATTTTTTTGTATTTTTGGTATTTAGTGAATTTTTTAAAGATTTTTTTTCGTAAATATTATACTTTTAAGTGTATTTATGTTAAGTGTGTCTAAAAATTAAAAAAATTGCTTAAAATATTAAAAAAATTAAGTGAAAATAAAAAAATACGGAAAAACGAAAAAGTAGAATTTTTTGAAAAATAAATTCTGAAAACTGAAACCAAACAGAGTGATTTTTTTTTATGAGAAAAGTTATTAATTATTTGATATATGTTATGATATTTTAGGATAAAATTACAAATAAATATTGAATGACGTGGCTAAGTTTTGACTTATCATTTTAGAACAAAGTGTCTATTTCAATGACATTTAATTACAGAAATGCCATCCTACATAATCTTGCATAAAAATTCTGTTTCATTAGCATTTCACAAATGATATATGTACAAAATATTCATACTCACTTTTTTTCACAAGGATGTTGTGACATTGGAATTTTAGAAAATACAAGCCACTTTGATGAGTTTTCGTTTTAAAATGACCAAAAAAAAAAAATCTCTCTCTCTCTCTCTCTCTCTCTCTCTCTCTCTCTCTCTCTTTTTAAGTTTTTTTTTGTATTATTATTGAAAATAGCTATGGCACAAATAAATTCACCGATGCCGGGCACTTGCAAGTGAGGAATATGTATTTTTAAAAAAATAATAATAAAGAAAATCTCTTGCACTTGCCTTGGATGAGATATAATCTTCAAAGCTCTTCTTGTATTCATCATATAACTTTTGACTTTGAGGACCAATAGGGTTACCACACATATTGTAAACAGTTCTGTTGAGCTCTGAGTTAAAGATATTCAAGTAGTATAACAAAAATGCATATAAATTTTTTTGAAAAGCAAACAGATAATAAATTCAAAGCAAGGTTAATTACATACTCGTATGGTTTTGCATGAAAACACCTAATCCTTTAAAACGTAATTAAAGTTGTGTTTTTAGATTAGATCATAAGGAAAAAGTGTAATTGGCCCAATTAACTCTGTAATTAACCTTTTAAAGTGTAATTGATCCTTTAAAATATAATAATAAGCAATGAAACATATAAAAATTCATGTAAATTTAGGCAATCATGTTCATGAGGATCTGACAGAGCTAATAGTAGTAGCAGTCAAATTGAGATTGTTCCAAATAATCAGACAGCTAAAATTGTTGTTTGGATCTAGAATTTATGGAAAGAGAAAAAAAATCACAAATTCTAGACACTTTTGCTCAAAAACAAAAAAAACTTCTAGACACGAAGTTAGGTCCATGTTACACCTTAAAGAAGGGTCACTTTGGGCTCATCTTCATAATTCAAATAATTCGTTACATTTTTAAAATTACATTTGTCATTTTATTTTTATTTTTTAAAAAATGTTTTCTAATCATTTAATTACTACTATCTAATCAATTTAATTTTTTTTTTTTTATGAATGATTTCATATCCTATCCTATAAAATTAACATTTGAATTATAAAAATAGACTAAAAATGAGACCCACCTCATGATTATCGTACTTGAGGTAGGGCAGGGATCCCAACTCCTCTAAACACATAAAGAGAAAACAAACATGAAAATTAAAGATTAAGAGAGAGAGAGAGAGAGAGAGAGAGAGGGGATACGTGTAATGGGTCATATACTCTTCAGCAGTGAAAGTGTGGGGACAAACTCCTTCCAAACTGTCAATGAGTTTGTTGATTGCATCTTGTAGCACTGGCCATCCTTCTTCAAATGGGATGGTTTTGCTGGTAGCTTCTCCTTCCTTGGCCATGTTTGGATGCTGAGAAAGTCAGAGAGCTTTTGGATATGAGTTCTGAGAAAGTTGTAATAATATAAAGGGAGAAATTTCAAAGATGGGAGGTTATAAACAAGTGTCTTAAATGGTGGGTGGGTTGTGAATAAAATGGTCAATGGATTGGCTTTGCAACTTTCTTATAGGCTTGGGAAATTTCTTTGTCTTGTTGGTTGGACTTTTGGGACCAGGCATTCTTGACCTAGACTTTTCTTGGAAACTTCCAAGTCGGTATTCAAGTTACTTCTAAAGCATGATAAGATAAATTACAAATTTATATAGATTCAAAATACGAACTATTTTTTATAATTTTAAAAATTATATTTTGTCCTTTTAAATTTTTAATTGCATAACAAATCTTATATTTTATTTATAAATTATTAATTTAATTAATAATTTCTAATTATGTCATAAATATTTTTCAATTAACAATTATGATAATTTTATTTTTACATAGAAAAATAGTTAGAAAATTTATTTTTTCTGTTAATTCTGTTTAATTAACAATTCTGACATGAGTGTATTTATAAGTTTTAGAACTACATGAGGCAACCGGTATTTTAGGCAAATCTCGGATGTGTATTTGTAATTTATCCTAAATATTAAGTCAATTTTTGTTTTGTGACTAGACACTCTTAATTTAAAAATTAAAAACAAAACCAATATTTCATAAATTTTGATTTATTTTTGAATTTCAGCATAATTTTATATAAATTTTACTTATATTTTTGAGTCACATGTTAAGGAAGCAGGTCCGTTTTTGAAAGAATAAAATTTACTTGGGGCTGCAATAATATTTCTCAAAAGTTTTAGCTCATTTTTGCTATGGCGTCAAATCTCGTAGCCTTGATAAAATAATTGACCTGGTCCTAAACAATTGCACGAGGACCCCATACGTGGTAGTATTAAAAGCTGCCACGTGGACATTCGTCTTCAAACTCAAGCCTCATTTGATGAAATAGCAAAAAAGAGCTACGACTTTTGAGAAACTTCAATGCAGCCCCAACTCAATTTTATTCTTTCATAAACTGACCTGCATCTTGAGCATCTAATTAACACGTAAAACCAAGTTATGAGCCCTTGGGGGTTGGGTTCAGTGGAAAGGGTCGCCCCAAAATACATTCCATCCGGGTTTGACTCTGCATTGCCCCTTGGTATGGAGTTCTTGTACTTTCCCTAATGCTGTGTTTGGTTGGGAAATTTGAGGAGGGATTTGAAAAGGGAAAGGGAAAAGGTGTTTGAAACTAGGTGAAATGTAAGTATATTTTATTCACATTTCACCTAACGTTTCCCTTTCCTTTTCCAATTCCCTTCTCAATTCCCCCAATCAAACACAGCGTAAAGCGAAGTCTTAGTCCGAGGCTAGGGACTGGCAGAGTCTGCACTACTTTTGAAGTCCTCTTCGTTGAGGCAAAAGAACCGTCAACACAATCGCTTGATAATTGGCTTGAATTTAATCTGTAAGGATTTTTCAATCCTTGCTGGCACGCTCGCATTTATGATATTTTCCTTCGTAGGAAAAATAAGCCAACATTTTAGCCAACAAATATTATAGAGAATAGCTATGGCACAAATAAATTCATCGATGTCTGACACTTGCAAGTGAGGAATATATATGTTTTAAAAAAAAAAAAAAAAACTCAAGAAAATCTCTTGCACTTGCCTTGGATGAGATATAATCTTCAAAGCTCTTCTTGTATTCATCATATAACTTTTGACTTTGAGGACTAATAGGGTTACCACACATATTGTGAACTCCGAGTTAAAGATATTCAAGTAGTATAACAAAAATGCATATAAACTTTTTTGAAAAGCAAACAGATAATAAATTCAAAGCAAGGTTAATTACATACTCGTATGGTTTTGCATGAAAACACCTAATCCTTTAAAACGTAATTAAAGTTGTGTTTTTAGATTAGATCATAAGGAAAAAGTGTAATTGGCCCAATTAACTCTGTAATTAACCTTTTAAAGTGTAATTGATCCTTTAAAATATAATAATAAGCAATGAAACATATAAAAATTCATGTAAATTTAAGCAATCATGTTCATGAGCATCTGACAGAGCTAATAGTAGTAGCAGTCAAATTGAGATTGTTCCAAATAATCAGACAGCTAAAATTGTTGTTTGGATCTAGAATTTATGGAAAGAAAAAAAAAATCACAAATTCTAGACACTTTTGCTCAAAAACAAAAAAAAAAAACATCTAGACACGAAGTTGGGTCCATGTTACACATTAAAGAAGGGTCACTTTGGATTCATCTTCATAATTCAAATAATTCATTACATTTTTAAAATTACATTTGTCATTTTATTTTTATTTTTTTAAAAATGTTTTCTGATCATTTAATTACTACTATCTAATCAATTTAATTTTTTTTTTTTATGAATGATTTCCTATCGTATCCTATAAAATTAACATTTGAATTATAAAAATAGACTAAAAATGAGACCCACCTCATGGTTATCGTACTTGAGGTAGGGCAGGGATCCCAACTCCTCTAAACACAGATAGAGAGAAAACAAACATGAAAATTAAAGATTAAGAGAGAGAGAGAGAGAGAGAGAGAGAGGATACGTGTAATGGGTCATATACTCTTCAGCAGTGAAAGTGTGGGGACAAACTCCTTCCAAACTGTCAATGAGTTTGTTGATTGCATCTTGTAGCACTGGCCATCCTTCTTCAAATGGGATGGTTTTGCTGGTAGCTTTTCCTTCCTTGGCCATGTTTGGATGCTGAGAAAGTCAGGGAGCTTTTGGATATGAGTTCTGAGAAAGTTGTAATAATATAAAGAGAGAAATTTCAAAGATGGGAGGCTATAAACAAGTGTCTTAAATGGTGGGTGGGTTATAAATAAAATAGTCAATGGATTGGCTTTGCAACTTTTCTTCTAGGGTTGGGAAATTTCTTCGTCTTGTTGGTTAGACTTTTGGGACAGGTATTCTTGACATAGACTTTTCTTCGAAACCTCCAAGTTGGTATTCATGTTACTTCTAAAGCATAAATTACAAATTTATATTGCTTTAAAATAGGAATTATTTTTTATAATTTTAAAAATTATATTTTGTTCTTTTGAATTTCTAATCGTATGACAAATTTTATATTTTATTAATAAATTATTAACTCAATTAATAATTTTTAATGATGTCATAAATAATTTTTAATTAACAATTTTAATAATTTTATTATTATATAGGATAATAGTTATAAATTTTATTTTTTACGTTAATTCTGTTTAATTAACATTTCTGGCATAGGAGTATTTATAATTTTTAGAACCGCATGAGGTAACTTGTATTTTAAGCAAATTGCGGAGGTGTATTTGTAATTTATCCTAAATTTTAAGTCAAATTTTATTTTGTGACTAGACACTCTTAATTTTATTTTTATTTTTTTTTAAAAAAAACTAAATATTTGATAAAATTTGATTTATTTTTGAATTTCCGCTTAGTTTTATATAAATTTGACTTATATTTTTTAGTCACATGTGAAGGAAGCAGGTCCATTTTTGAAAGAATAAAATTTACTTGGGGTTGCAATGATATTTCTCAAAAGTTTTAGCTCATTTTTGCTATTGCGTCAAATCTTGTAGCCTGGATAAAATCACCGATCTGGTCCTAAACAATTGCACGAAGACCCCATACGTGGTAGTAATAAAAGCTGCCACGTGGACACTCCGTCTTCAAACTCAAGCCTCATTTGAGATGAAGGGTAAATTACACTACCACCTCCTCACATTTTTATTTAATACGCATTCCTTTCCCATTTAAAAAACTAGCCTATCACCCGTGCTATGCACGGAATAATCATAGATATCTATATTTGTTTTAGATTTTTTTTAATATATAAATTATGTTTTTTAAGATTTTTTATAAAAATAATTTAACAATCTTATCACTAACCATAGTGCATACTTCAGTAACTATATACATATTGTATCTATAATTATTTGTATGAGGAAATTTTAAATGCTGATCAGGGATTTTGACCAAATCAATAAATGCAGGCATGTGGAAAAACATGTAGATTGAAAAAAGTTAATAAATGCTGAGTTTTTTTTTTAATAAAAAATTCAAAAAATTCAGATTGGTATATTGAAGTTTCCACAGGCCTTGAGGTTAAAAATCCCCTTTTGCTTAATATATAGTACGAGCCTAACACCCGTGCTATGCACGGGATAATTATAGATATTTTTATTTGTTTTAGATTTTTTTTAATATATAAATTATGTTTTTTAAGATTTTTTTCTTATCACTAACCATAACGTATGAGAGAAGTTGAAAAGGGTATTACAGTAACTATACACAAATTGTATCTATAATTATTTGTATGAGGGGATTTTAAATGCTGATCAGGAAATTTTGACCAAATCAATAATTGCAGCCATGTGGAAAGATATGTGGATTGAAAAAAATTAATAAATACTGATTAGGAGATTTTGACTGAATCAATAAATGCTGAGTTTTTTTTTAAAAAAATAAAAAATTAAAAAATTCAGATTGGGATATTGAAGCTCTCATATATAGGTCTTGGGGGTTAAAAACTCCATTTTGCTTAATATATAGTATAGATATAGATAGATAGATAGATAGATCTTTTTATTTTTATTTTTATTTTTGTGTGGTTTCTATTCGGGTATTTTTTTTCCAATTTATTTAAGATGGAGTTGTGGGTATCTTTTTTTTAAAATTTAATTTATCTGTGATTTTCATTTGTTTTTGATTATTATTATTTAAGTAAGTTATGATGTGAGTTAAATATGTGATAGACATGTGAGTTTTATTGATTTAAAGTTTATTTAGATAAACTTTAAAGATTTTTTTTTTAGTTTTTTAGTTTTATTTGTTATGTTATAATATAATATATAAAATATAGGTAGATATCTACAACTTTAATAGAAATATTATCTGATTTTTTGGAGAAGAGAAAATGAATGCAAGTTTTAATATATTTTTTTTAAAAATTTGTGAGAGAGATTAGAAGGGAGAGATTATGAAATATTTTTGTTGTTAAATAAATAAATCAGTCAATAGTTTTTTTAATCTATTTTGTAAATTAAAAATCAATAATTTTGAAAAATTGATTAATTTGTCCTATTAAGTGATTTAAAATTTTGATAGATATACATAAAAAAAAATACATAATTATATTATTAAATCATAATTCAAATTTAGATGTTATATCTTTTTGAGATCTATAGCTAAATTCTTATCTTTTTATTTTTTATTTTTGTGTGTAACTATAGTATATAGGAGAAATTGAAAAGGGTGTTACAGTAATTATGAGAGAAGTCAAAAGGGATTGTGGGTTGGGAGCAGTCAATAAATGTTGAGGTTGGGTTGGGAGAAGTCAATAAATGCTGAGGTTTTTTTTTTAAATCAAAAAATTAGAAAATTAGGATTAGGAGATTGGAGCTCCCAGAGGCTTTGGGGTTAAAAACCCCCTTTTGCTTAATATATAGTATAGACTAGCCTATCACCCGTGCTATGCACGGAATAATTATAACTATTTATATTTGTTTTAAATTTTTTTTAGTAATCTCCAAGGGTTTGATTGTTCAGGAATTCGCCGAGATCTGACACAACCACCGCTGTGCGTCGCCGGAATTTGCAACGCCGCCTATAACCGCCGCTGGTTCCGAAATATTACGGAAATTTGAGCAAACTTTTAGAGATTATTCTCAACATACCGTAGACGTTAATTCATCACAACTCCACCGCCTTCGACATGTTTGATAGACGGCTCTGCCTCGGCCGGAAGCCCGATCGCCGCCGCTGCTGATGAGACGAAGGACGAATCAGAGCCGACAGAGCTCTCTTCACCAAATCGCCTTCAACGGTCCCGATTCGAACCAGCGAATTCGTCATCGCCGACCTCCGAGCGTTGAGTCGGTTCGATGGATACGACACCGTTTGGTTACTAAAATTCTTATGCAAACTGCAACGAAACGAGCCTGGATGATTAGTCGGTGAACACATACAGGTCCGCTTTTGAGTCCCTGCCTTCATCACCTGGTTCCGAGACGATACGGAGATCGATCGGCTCGGAGAAATCGGACGGTCGATAGAGAACCGTACCGACCTCGCCGACGGAGCTGAATCGTACAAATTGACGCGCGTACGAGAGGTTGATCTGTGGAGGAAAGTGTTGGATTGAGACGAAAAGCTGGAGCTCGATGAAGCGAAGGCTGAAGAAGAATACGATGATGGAGACGAAGTGTGGAATCTTCCGGAAGGGGAGAGAGAGCGTAGGATTGGTCCGCTTGATCTTCGAGAGGAAGCCGCCATTTTTGTTGCAGTAGAGAGAGATTCTAGAGAGAGTGAAGAAAGAATCTTGAGAGAGAAGAACAGAGGGGAGAGGAGGATTTTTACTTCCCAAAAAGCCGCGTTTGGGTATCTAATTCGGCAAACCTTGCTTCGCTCAAGCCCTGTATTTATAGCATTTTTTCTAGCTGATTTGGATTTTCCTTTTTTAATAATAAAAAATTAGCCTATAATTATAGAATAATTATAGATATTTATATTTTTTTTAATATATAGATTATATTTTTTTTAAGATTTTTTATAAAAATAATTTAAAAGTCTTATCACTAACTATGGTGCATATGAGAAATTAAAAAGACCACTGCAGTAATTATGCACGAGTTGTATCTATAATTATTTGTGTGGGGAGATTTTAAATGCTGATTAGGGATTTTGACTAAATTAATAAATGTAGGCATGTGGAAAGACATGTGGATTGAAAAAAGTTAATAAATGTTATTCAAGAGATTTTGACCAAATCAATAAATGCTGAGTATTTTTTTTTTAAATAAAAAATTTAGAAAATTAAGGTTGGGAGATTGGAACTCTATGTGAATTGTGATTTTTAAATATTTTTTTTTAATTTTAAAATGTCTTTTTTTTTTCTTTTTTATATTATATTAAAGTTTAATATTTTGATAATAATCATATGTGTTGGACTTTTCAAGAATTTTTTTTATGCTTGTTCTTAATGCATTAAAGTGTTATTATGAGAGATAATAATCATATGTGTTGGGACTTTTCAAGAAATTCATATGTGTTGGATTTCAAAGAATTTTTTTTATACTTGTTCTTAATGCATTAAAGTGTTATTATGAGGGTAAGACTTGGGAGTTGGAAAAAGTTAATAAATGCTAAGATTTTTTTTTTTAAATAAAAAAATCAGGAAATTTAGATTGGGAGATTAGAGCTCCCACAAGACTTGGAGTTAAAAACCCCCTTTTGCTTAATATATAGTATAGATAGATAGTAGCATATCACCCGTGCTATGCACGGATTGTGTTTACAGTTATCTATACATGTGAATTGTGATTTTTAAATTTTTTTTTAAGTGTCTTTTTTTTTTCTTTTTTATATTATATTAAAGTTTAATATTTTGATAATAATTATATGTGTTGGCCTTTTCTAGGAATTAAACATCTTTTTTTTTTATTATATTATATTAAAATTTAATATTTTGATAATAATCATATGTGTTGGATTTTTCAAATTTTTTTTTTATACTTGTTCTTAATGGATTAAAGTGTTATTATGAGGAATAATAACCATATGTGTTGGGACTTTTCAAGAAATTCATATGTGTTAGATTTCAAAGAATTTTTTTTATGCTTGTTCTTAATGCATTAAAGTGTTATTATGAAGGTAAGACTTGGGAGTTGGGAAAAGTAAATAAATGCTAAGATTTTATTTTTTTTAAATCAAAAAATCAGGAAATTTAGATTGGGAGATTGAAACTCCCACAAGGCTTGGGGTTAAAAACCCCCTTTTGCTTAATATATAGTATAGAAGTATAGATGTGTTGGACTTTTCAAGAAATTTTTTTTATGCTTGTTCTTAATACATTAAAATGTTATTATGAGGGATAAAAATCATATGTGTTGAGACTTTTTAACGAATTTATGTGTTGGATTTCAAAAAAAAATTTTATGCTTGTTTTTAATATATTAAAGTGTTATTATGAGGGAAAGACTTGGGAGTTAGAAGAAGTTAATAAATGCTAAGATTATTATTATTTTTAAATCAAAAAATTAAGAAATTTAGATTGGGAGATTGGAGTTCCCACAAGACTTGGGGTTAAAAATTCCATTTTGCTTAATATATAGTATGGATTACTCTCTCTTTTTTTAGGTTTATAATATCATTACAAATTATCATACTTTAAAATTTTTTAAATGACCATCTTGCCACTTTCTCTTCCTAACATCATGATTACATTCTATAATTTTTCATCATTAAATTCTACCTGAATACATTCTTATTGAGTGATGAATTTTCAAACACAATAATATAGCTTAATAGTGATCTTTCACTTTAAAACAAAACATCCATAAATTTGATTTATATTTACAATACTATCACTATCACAACATTTTTATTATATTTTTGTATAAATTTTTATATATGAATATAATTTTTCATTTTTATTTCCACAATTATATTTAGATTAGATCAATTTCAAATATATTTAAAAAGTATAAAATTTGTACAATTTTTTTTAAAAAATTCATTGATACAAAAATTTAAGATAATTATTGAATTTTTGTATTTTGTATTTTTGTATTTGGTGAATTTAAAAAAAAAAATCACAAAATATTTCTTAAGTATATATAGATTAGGTGTATCTAAAAAATAAAAGAATTACTTAAAATATTAAAAAAAAACTCAGTAAAAATAAAAAAATACGAAAAAAAAACTTAATTTTTTGTGTGAGTTAAACCAAAAAAGATGATTGTTATTTCCTTTGAAATGACATGAACACAATATCTATATTATTTTATTATTTTATATGTATAAATAGATAAATATGTCATTTTAATCTGACATGAATATAAGTATAATTTTTCAAATGCAAAGAGATCTATATTAAATAGAAACCATATGCCTCTGTTTGGCAAGATGGTTTTCAGGCTTTTTTGGCTATTTTAAAAAAACGGAAATAATGCCAAATCCCAACCCAAATTAAAAAATAAAAAAAATGGAAAAGGGCAATTTGGTCTTTTAACAAGATGACACCTCACCAAAAAGCCAAAAAAGCTCTTCCCAAACCAAGCTTTTTAGCCCCAGGCTAAAATAGCCAAAAAAGCCAAAAAGCCAAAAAGCCAACCCACTTCCCAAATGGGGGCAAGAATATTCTGTTTCAAGAAAAACAGGGCATAGCTTGGGTTTTATTTTGTGATAATATAGGACATAGGACTAAATTGAATGCTTTTGTTGGGTTCTTATGGATTTTAGTAGTGCTACAATTACCACATTTATTTATCATGTTGTCTTGACCAACTTATGTGTTAAAGTGGCATTGGTTTTGATGGGTTTTTTTTTTTTGTTTTTTTTTTTTTTTTTTTTTTTTTTTTTTTTTTTTTTTTTTTTTTTTTTTTTTTTTTTTTTTTTTTTTTTGTGGTTGTGGTGTAAAATGTGGATCGGGGTGAACCCCTGAGATGAATAAAATATGGTTTGTTGTGCATATTGGTAAATGGTTTTGGGTTTTTTTTTTTTTTTTTTTTTTTTTTTGGATTTAAAAAAAAAAAAAGAAGTTATGCATTTATAACAACTCAATCTAAACACGAATTTAAACGGATTAAGTTAATAAGATACGGATTTGATAAATAAACACGACCATATTTAGGCACTATTTGGCATCGTCTACGAAATTACATTTTTTTAAATTTTTTTTTATATTTTTTTAGGTCACATCACCTCTTTATTTTTTTGCATATCTTTTCATAAAAAATTAAAAAATTAAAAAATATACTTATTTAGATCATCCTAAACACCCTTTTACTTTATTTATTTTTTACTTCATTAATTTTTTCCCCTCCAATATATGGTGGTGGTGATAGTATAGTGGCGGCAATAACAGTGGTGATGGTTTGGTGATGGTAGCAGTGGTATAGAGATCGTAGTGGTACATATTTAACCAAGTTTAATAGATATTCATATCCAATTCATTTAAATTTATTTATGGATTTGGATGAGTTATAAGTGTAATTAAGCTGGTTGACAATTTTAAGTTTAATTACCTAATGTTAATCTGACACTAAAATTACCAAGGATAGAAATTGTGTTGTGTGATCTCGAATTCGTACAAGAATTTTTACAACAGCAATTCGATTTATTTATTTTTTACACTTACATAAAAATACCAAATACATATATAGGGATATATAAATTGTTTCTCCGTAAATTAAAATTCATGAAAATAAACTTTATCGGATGAAATCATTCATAAATATATTTAATTTAAACTCAATTTTATTTTTCAATTTCAAAAAATCCAACCCCATATTTATTGATTTATTCCAAAATAGTAAACAAAAAGATCAAATTATCTCAAATAAAAAATAAAAAAATTATATTGATCCTGAAATCTTATTTTATATATATTTTTTTATTATTCAATTGAATGAAGTTACGGATGCAACATGTCATCATAACACCCCTTGATGAAAATAATATTAAAATGAATAATTAATTTTTCATTAAATAAGTTATTAGTTGTACGCTTTTTTGTTTTATTAGCAAAAGAATAACTTTATTAATGAAAATAACATATAAATATATGAGAATACATCAATAAAGTAAAGGGGAGTGCAAAAAGCATCAAAGCAATACGTCGCAATCCTAACTAGGTTGGCACTGTGAAGAGCGCACAATGGTGAGAAACCAATAGCAAAACAAGAAAAAAACAACATAAAACAAACCACAAACCCAACTCAGCAAGCAATAGCAACATGGCTCCTCACTTTATGCAATTCCTGACTTGCTGCAGATTAGATACAAACTGATTAATTGAGTAGTCTCTTCCCATCCTGTAAACAAAGTATAACGCAGCGGAATAAAAAATTATGGTCATACCTTATAAACAAAGACTGAATTGAAGGATCTCGTGGGTAAATCACGTGCTTCCAGAATCTGATAAACCAACCCAGCAGTGAAGTGATATTACAGAACGAATATCACCCACACAAATCACAGTGCAAATGACTTGATCGTTGTTTTTGGGAGAGAGTCAGTATGTGGGTAAAACTCAGATCATACGTTGTTTTTCTCTTAATCACCCATAATCCATATACCAGATATATAATGTGTTATTATTATCTATCCATATCAGTTAATGGAGATAATATCTATATCCTGAGTGGTTATTCTAAATAGGTTTGAATTCAATTTCAAAACCTATTTGGATAAGGTTCAAATTCAAATGGTCATGCCACATGGGCGCCCATTACTAACATCTCCCACTCGCACATGAATTGGCATGACACTGCCACATCTCTATCTCAATCTACCCAAAAATGAACAATCTCATACTAGCCAATGCACTGTGCGACCGCTGAGAACACCTGCATGTGGGAGCTCTATACTAGAAACTCAATTTGAGTCAGTATAGAGACATCAAC